ATACCGACGCGTTGCCATATTTCTGTTGGCATTCCTCGTAGAATCCATATACTTGCGTGATCTGTCTCGATTCGTGGTTACCTCGGACAAGAATGATCCGGTCGGGGTATCTGTGTTCATGTCAATAAGGAACAAATCATCGAGTAAAAGACATGCAAGTCTTACTTGGCTTTCAGACACATCAGAAGCGTGAATGTCTCAAGACTGAAATACCCACGGTCAACAAAGTCGCCTAAGAAGACAAACCTGGTGTCTGCATTATTGGCAGCGACTTCACTTGACGTCGGGTCTCCTGACGTGGTTATTTCGGTGGCATCCTCGTCTTCTTCGTCTTCTGTAACGCCGGCGGGACCGTCCCATGAGTTGTCACCACTCCCTTCCGGCCTTTTGCTTTGCTTTATCTTCTTTTTCAGTTTAGGGTTGGTTATCTCGGGCGGTTCGATATCGTCGGATGTGATGACCGTTGTTGCCGTCGCGGGTGCTTCTGTTGCAGGCTGGCCCGGCATGCCTCCGCTAACTCGGAATAATTCGAGCAGATCGTAGAATTGCCCGTGAATGTCACCACAAATAGTCACCGGGGTCACTACGGGCTGGATATTGGATTCTATCGCCGCCTGGTATCAGCAAAAGGTCACGGCGGCACTGTGGAAGGGACCCAAGCCAAGTATACCTTCCATGAGCACCTCCTTGACCATTTCACAGAGCTCCTTCATGACCGGTTCAGGGAGGTAATGGCATTGTTTCGCCTCCTCCAGCCATTCGTCCAGGCCAGCCCCCGGTGTCAACTTGGCCGGTCCCGGCTTAGGTACGGCAACACGAGGTGTCCCCATCGTTCGGCTTCTTTAGCAGAGTGATATGTACAATCAAATGTGAAAGGAAGCTTGGTTTCGGAAGGCCAATGAATTGATTTGGATGTTACGACACAAGCTAAAGTGGGATAGCAAGGGTAGGAGGAGGGGATACCTACCTACCTTGGCAGGTGTGGCAGCTGGATAGATGCGGGTTAGAGTATTATGTTTAATTGGTAAATATTTATAACGATATACAGGGAATCTTATTACTGAAAGCGGGAAAATCACGGCTTATAAAATCATATAAGATAATGATTAGGATGACGGCAGGTGCCCACTGCACATTTCACAGTACCTTATTGTGGATGATTGTGCTCAAGTACCTGCGTGCCTCCCTCGACAAATTGCAATTACCTAACTCAGGTGGGGTACACCATCAGACTAGACAGACTAGGCTAGAAGTATTGTATCTACAGAGCCTCCAGACTCCCCGGAGGCTGTGGTGGGGTGTCTTTGCATGCAACATCCAAAGTCAAAACGCCCGTGAAGCACTGAAAGGCGCGTGGTACTTTTATTGTGATTGATATCGAATTGTACGCCCGTATACTTGATAGGCCCATTCTTGTGGGAGGTTGTTCTATTTAACACACTCTTGCCACACGCGCGGCAGTCTGACTATTTGTCCCCTCTCACTCATTCCACAACCTCCCAAGTTATCGACCATGTGCTTGATGTGTTGTATCGTCACCAGCACACACTTCCACATCATTAGAAGATAACTTCTTTGAATATATCGACCATGGCGAAGAGCCAGGCAGATGGAAAGAGGGTTATCATCCGCCGGTTGCCGCCCGGCATGACGGAGGATGAATTCTGGGCTATTCTTGGAGACGAATGGAAACCTGGCCATGGGAAGGTCGACTCAGCACGATATGATGATGGGCAGATCTCTTCTGAGTATGCCACCCTTACACTGCACGTCTGCGCTGAACACTAACGAATACCCTCAACTTAGCCCCTCAGACCCATCCCGACCGGCACGATGCTATCTCTACGTCATTCAGCCAGCCGAAATACCAGCACTTGGCGATAAGGTCCAGCAGTCGAAATGGGAAGACGCCAAACATACTTCCACCGATCCAGCCCTTGTCGCACCTCCCTGCCTAGAAATTGCCGTTATTCAGAAGATGCCTACAGGGAAGAAACGCACCGACCCGAGACAAGGGACCATCGATTCGGAACCCGAGTTTATGAAGTTTCTCGAAAAGCTCACGGCCCCCCAAGAGCCAAAGGAAACGGACCCTGAACAAGTGGCCGATGATGCTTCCAAGGCAGATGCCAAGGTCACGACAACACCCTTGGTCGAATACCTCAAGGAAAAGAGGGCCAATAAGGCCAAGGAAGCGGCTCTCGCTAAAAGCGCAAAGCATTCTCGCCATGAATCCCAAAGCAAAGGCAAAGAAGATCCCAAGAAAAAGGGCAAGGATTCCAAGGGTGACAAGGCTGAAAAATCGTCGGAGAAGGAGAAAGATAAAGTCACCCAACCCGTGAAGCTTCTCACCAAAAAGGCGGTAGCCCAGGATGTGGCAGAAGCTGCCAAGGCGGCGGCCAGCCAAGCTTCCTCCAGCAGACCAACAGAGGATGCGCCGACAAGGAACCGCCGTGCCAATATTTCCGCAGCGGCCAAGATACTGCAGCGTGATCTCGGCCTTAGCCCCGGGAGCGCCCATAGGAGAGCGCGGCAGGATGCGGCCAAAACTGAGCCTAGCACTAAATCCGATAGTAGCGTGAAAGACTCGAAAGAGAATGCCACCAGCAAGGCCACCACTTCCACGACACCTACGGCTCCTAGCAAAGCAGCCTCCACAGCCAGCCCATCTACGCCCTCAGCCCCAAAGTCGCAGGCATCCGAGGGTTCTAGACGGGGCCGTGGTGCCAAGGCCACAAAACAGAACTCGTCAACTGAAACTGGAAAGGGTAAAGCAAACGAGTCTCTGACTACTGGAAAAGCAGCGCCGATGGCGACCCCGATAATCCTCAAACGGAAAGATGAGTCTGGGTCCGCCGCGGTAACTTCGCCTCCAACCCTTTCGGCGGCCTCGACTTCTACACCAGCAACTCCTACCGGACCAAAGAGTGCTGCAACCAAGGCCCCGAGTGGGGGAAAACAGCTGTCAGCGAATCAGAAGAAAGCGACGCAGGCGAATATACCATCGGTCACTACCGGAGCGACTCGTGGCTTTGTCAAACATGCCAACCCTACACAGGGAGTAACAGAGCCTTTATTGAAGCGAGCCATGGAAACCTTTGGCCCGGTCACTTTTGTCGAGATTGATAAGCGTAAAGGTTTTGCTTATGTAGACTTTGGCACTCATGAAGGCCTTGTCAAAGCTATTGCTGCCAGCCCGGTCTCGGTAGCCCAAGGCACAGTTCAGGTTCTTGAGCGCAAGGATACCAAAAAGACGACTCCAGCGGTCGCGGCCCCTGCTCAACCAACCGCCCAAAAGAAAACCGAGACGCAAACTACAACACAACCCCCAAACCAGGGCGAACGTTCCAAACGAGGTGGCCGGGGCAGGGGCCGAAAAGGGGGTGCCAACTCGACAAATGCCGACCAGGCAGGCTCCTCGGCCGCGCAGCCCGAAATCAAGGCGGGCACCGCAACGACTCCAGGATGAGACAGGTGACGGCAGCAAATATATCATCAAACCCTATCTCTGATATGGTTTTACAACGCGATAGATCTTGGGATTCCACATGCCCACCATCTCCCAGAGCATAGATATGGCTGCCTTGTGCCTATATTCGCCTCATCCGACCGCCAAGGAAGTGTGAAGGTAAACTAGGAGGCCAGCTATTGCAGCTTTACATCAGAAGAGTCCGAGGATGGGGTTTCCCGTCGCTGCCTCGGGTTTTGTAGAAGGTCACTCAGGGAATCTAAGCCGCGCATGCTAGCATGAGGAGCCGAATTAGGTCATCCTTGAGTGATATGACAGGTAACCGTCCGCCGGGAAAGCTTTGGTAGTGGGAGTGACAAAGTGAAGACGAGAGGCACATATTTCCGAGGAAGCGCAATGCTCCGCTCCCCTATTGCTATTCTACCGTGGCTGCCAGCAAATGTCTGAAATATGACATTACCCTATTAGATAGACATTGGTCTTTTTTACCTGCAGGTGCTGTAGTGCGAGCATCCATATTGGTCTTAGGAGACTACATCGAGCCTATCTACTATTTATTGCTATCCCCCTTGCTTCCATCTTGTGATAAAACCAGTGAACTTGAAGGGCTATCAATTGTCCAACAGGACTAGGTCTTCAGCTACATAAAACCCACTGTTATCGTATTTTAAAATTCTGTATATGCGGATTACAAGATTCTCATAATCACCACCATAGGAATTTCATTTTAAGGAGAGCAGGGCCTGTAAACCTACATCTCCATATTAACGGTAACAAAGCGACGATTTCTTACAGCTTGCAACAATGGTCAATATAGGTCTATGTGACTTGTGACAGCCAAGTTGGACTCGTCTATTTTAAACATATTCCGGCTAAGCGTAAAGGATCAGAAGAGGTCTGTCATTCCTTAATTACACGTCTTGTGACCTTCCTTCTTTGCAGTTTGATATGCCTTACTTGGGCATACACAGGGGCAGAGATTACATACTCCTCTTGCTCTTCTTGCTTTATTCCAAAGCTTCAATACCATCGTCGGGTCTTTGAGGCTTTGTCATTAAATTCCAGGCTTGGGAGGCGATTCTAAGGAGGCTTTTAGGTACTTCACTCAAAGCACAGGGTGTTGAGGTCGACTGAGATTTTATTTGCTGAAGGGGAAAAAAGACATCATGATATCTTCACTCCAGCCCGAATATAGCCACAAATACCAGAGTGTAATCAAGTAATTGTGAGAAACACACCTTGTAACCAACCACTAGTGACAGACCTTGAGGAGCCAACATGTTTACCCACCTTATGTATCCAGACCGATACAATATACACACATATGTACATGTTCAAACCATTGTAGGTAGACCAGCAGGCACAGGCACATACATACATACATACATACATACATACATACATACATACATCTACCTCAATGGCGGCTCTCGGGTATACTCTGGGAGATTAACTCCCATTCAAACCCGCGGCAGTACCTTGCCTTATAAATACAATGAGCAGAGTAAACAAACAACAACAATGACAGATGGTGCCGGTGGAGTAGAAGTTAACTCGTTTCCCTCCCATTCAAGTTTCTTGAAAAGGAAGAAAGGAAAGAACCCGGGTGCAAGTCCCGGCCGGCGCAATTTTTTGCATTCTTTTTTTTTTTTTTTGGCTTTTTCTAGACCTTTTGTTTTTGGACGCTTTTCTTTGACCTGTCTCCTTCTATTCCTTAATACCTTTGTGTTAAATCTAGCAGTCATTGCATCCTTTTGTTTTTCTAGTTTTTCTATTGACGTAAAGTGATGTGAAAAACAAAATTGAGGGTATATGCTGTTTGTTTACCTGGGACCGTGATAGAATAATGGTGAAAGCTTGCAATTCCACAGATGAATCACTATCATTATCCTCATCGAGTAGAAGAAAAGACGAAGATAATGAAGGCTACCCACCTTCAGAAGTGTCCCTTACACCTCAATATTTATATCCCTAGGCTTTCTTGTTTTTTCTTTTGATATTAAAGGGAAACAGCGAAAAGCAGTCTAAAGCATCACTATCCTGGCAGGAAATCGCGTTTCCAACTACACGTCGCTTTTTACCTCCATCTTCTCAAGTCTTTTGCGCCAACGTCTACACGTAGTAAGTCAACTCCGTCATGGCTTTCAAGTTTTTCTTTTTGCGCCTACTGTAGTAGAAACTAGAATAAATGTAGCACCGCACTGCATCAACCTAGGTTAGAGCGGCATTAATGCTTGACATATTTGATTAGTTGCACCTGTAGTCACAGCCCGTAAATAGGTATCTTTGGTAAACTGGTATTGTGTGCATTTCGAAAATGTATCTAGGAGGGAAAGGTATAGGTACAGTATAAACCAACAACAATCATTTACAAACTTACAAGTGAAAGACATCTACCTCCAGTTCCTAGAAGCACAAGACAACACATTTTCATATCATCAAAGAGAGGTCGAGTATGCATGTGGTTAAGGGGTACATACCTTAGTATCTACCTTATATGTACTTGTCGCTTTATCCTCAGTGAGGACGTGTAAGGTATGCAACCCTAATCTGTATAATCTAAGGGAAGCAAGGCCAGTCACCGAGGTACTCTAATAAGACCATACACATACTTATATGCATATAGTTGGATTTCATTCCTATCAGTTATAGGGGAGTGTTTTTATAATACTTACTGTTCCTGATAACAAAGTTAATATTAGACTACCTACTCCTACCAAGACACAGCTGCTGCTAAATAATTATTAAACAGTTAAAGATTCCTTTAGGTAGCTGTAAGTAAGCAGTACTATAAAGTTGGTACAAGAGGGTGTGCTGACTCTTTGTAGTAGAGAATTGACGTCTTGTAGAAGGACTGATTTGCTTACTTACGGCTTTAGCCTCTTTAGCTGTGCAAGAGAGCATAACGTGAATCATTTTGACTTGCCTCGGTCTCTGACTGGACTTTTGTACCCCTTTCCGTTCTTGCAGTGCCTGCCGGTACCATCAAATGGCATTGTTCTGCGGTAGCGTTTCCGGAAGTTCGGAACAGTGTTTGACTTGGAGGGACATGGATCTTGGTGTGGTCTTTTTGATTTGTCCGCTTGCCAATCTGGTGCAGGGGTGTACATGGCCCCCTTGGTGGATACTGATGTAGGAATTCAAGGCGGAGAGACTGCGAAGCAAGATGGGCATTGGTATATTATGCTTTGTTTGAGGGTCTCGATGTCTAGTTATATTCGGTCCTGATGTTGATGTTGATGCTGACCTTGACTTTTGTCGTCTGAGGGGTAGCCAGGTACTTTCTGGTTAGTAATACTGTTCTACCAGATGTGGTGGAAACAGCGCGCGTTGTTTTATCTAGCACAATAGGATCTGTATTATGTTGGAAATGGAAAACATGATGTTTATACCTGATGCCATAATAGAGATGAAAATATATTCAAAGAAGTACTCAACTTGTTGCATACAGCTTGTTATTGAGATTAAACTCAAGTTATATCAACGTTTTGTTACCCTCTGTATACTCTTCCTCAAGTTCTTAAAAGACAATATAGTATATTACTAATCTGCTCGTAAGTTTGAATTATGCTTTTGATTATTAGTACCTCAGTCGAGTATACTGTAAACTATGTAGTCAAGGCACCTTACCAAGGACTAGTATACACAATGAACCATGCTGCTGGGACGGTACTAGTTAATTCAATCTGGGTCTAATTTAGGTTCGAGATATTGGCAAATCGAGGGCTTCCCCTTTTAGTACTCCCTTCTACGAGTAGGTAGACTACGTGCGTAGATCTAGTTCACGTTATTTCGTACATGCGCCCTTCCAAGCGTGTCGGCATACCTGATACGGCAAGGGAAACAACGGACTAACCATAATCCGAGGAGGCCTCCCTCGATATTCGGGATCTGGTCCACCTCATCTTACCTTATGCCAAACATTGCAGTTAGTATTATCATAACGGCTTTCATGTAGGTAGCATATCTACTATATTCTCTGCATTCATAAACAGTTTTGATCTTTTCTCTATACTTTTTCTTCAGGTCACCGCCAAGTCCTACCCTCGCACGTCAGCATGTATATATGTACCCTTCTTCAAACTATGCAGCATAGCCACCCGGTAACTTATCGTCAGTTTCCCCAAGAAGCTTAAATCGATGGAAAGTTCAACGAGTGTCGACTAGGCTTCTTCCTGTGATTGTGCATTGCGTCTTTTATCACCCAGTTGTACGTGCGAAAATAATGTCCAACACTGTAATGAGAGTGAGAACAACCTCAGAGACAACAGTGCACCGTCCTGATTTCTGTATCTTGACCCGGGGGTTCCATCCCACACACCATTCTTCACAAATAGGGAGTCGGTCGGTGATGAAGACGAGGGGCAACACTGTGGCCATGGCGAGGAAACTCTCACAGACGACAGTGTGCCGTCCAGATTTTTTCAATGTTGACACGGATTCCATCTCATATCACCATTGTTTACACTACATAGGAGGTAGGTTAGGGATAGCAAGTAAGCAAGCTCCTTTGCCAAAATAAATAAATATAAAGCCGCTTGATTATAACCTCCTTCCTCCTCTTATGCGATTTCTTCCAGTTGCAGTTCTATTCATTTGATTCAAACACTATCTTAACTTCCTCTGGCTACGTATATTCCCGAGATAGAAATGGACGGCGACGATACCAGTACCATCGACAATGTCAAAAACACTGTTCGATGGGATGATGTGGAAGCAGGCTCCGGCTCACGCCCTGGACATGGCATTCGCCGTAAAGGTTCTAGGGGTTCCATGTCCATCCAAAGTGTTGCTTCACGAAGTCGTCAAGTAGACCCGGCCCTCGCTTTGCCAATCCAATACCGTACTCTGTAATCACTTCTCACTGCCCCCCCTTATTTGCTCCGTTATCAAGTCCTCATAACTAATAATGACATCAAAGTTCATATCAGATCTCCGAGTCTAAAGCTCAAGATTTCGACAAGTATATAAATGTCAAGGACGCGGCTACCAAAGGTGAAGACTTAAACATCCTTCCCTTTTCTCTGCAGATAAATATCTCTTCTTTTGTCTAACCCCCTGAATCCAGAATTTTCCGAACTCGAATGGCATACAATCTCCACTGACGAAGCCCTCCGTCGCCTCACCACGTCCGCAACCGAAGGTTTATCTGAGGAACAAATCGGCCGCAGAATTAAGGAATACGGGCGAAATGCCCCGTCGCCGCCCAAGTCCCGCGTGATACAGACATGGTTTGGGTATTTCTTCTATGGCTTCGGTCCCGTCCTCCTGGTCGGCGGTATTCTCGTACTCGTTTCTTAGAAACCACTTGGACAGCCGCCGGCCGTGGCTAATCTGGTATGTCATGATGTGACATGAGGATCTGACTTGGATATGTCTCGGTATAAATGTATTGACACGTTCTTTGTGTAATAGGCACTCGCTATTGTATTGTTCGCCGTATTTTTACTTCAGGCAGCATTCAACGGATTTCAAGACTGGAGCTCCTCGCGTGTGATGAGCTCCATCAAAAACATGTTGCCCGAAGACTGTCTCGCGATTCGGAATAACGCACAGGTGTCTATACCTGCGTCGGAGCTCGTGCCGGGAGACATCATCTACATCAAGGCCGGTAACAAGATCCCGGCCGATGTACGATTTATACGAGTGTCGAGTGATGCCAAGGTTGACAGGTCGATACTGACGGGAGAATCGGTCCCGCTTTCGGCTGCCAAGGACTCGACCGATGAGAATTATCTCGAGACGAAATGTATTGGCATGCAGGGGACGCATTGTGTTTCTGGTTCTTGCACTGGTCTCGTCGTGGTAGGTAAAACAAAGCAAATCCCGAGTAACAAGTCATACTACATAAGGTACTTATACTAACGCGAGGGGATTTCACATAGGCAACTGGCGACCGAACCGTATTTAATCGTATCGCCAATCTCACACAAGAGCCAAAGTCCAAGCTTTCGACGCTCGAAAGGGAAGTATTGAACTTTGTCATTGTGATATGCTCCATCATGTTTGTCGCCATACCGATTGTCCTGCTTGCCTGGGGACTCTGGCTCAGGAAAGACCATCCGGATTACATTAGCGTGCCGACCTTGATTGTCAGCATCGTCAGTGTTGCTATTGCCTTTATTCCTGAAGGCCTACCTATTGCGCTTACTGCCGGCTTGACGATTACGGCGAATCTGATGCGTAGGAATATGGTTTTGTGCAAGTCTTTGAAGACTGTTGAGACTCTGGGTGCGGTTTCGGTCATCTGTTCGGATAAAACGGGGACTTTGACTGAGGTAAGTACCTAGGTGTTGACGGCTTTAGCCCCTTAGTCGGCACTAACCTAGGAAGAAGCCGTGGTCCATACTTAGGTACCGAGAATAAAAGTTGGCTGACACGAGGCATAGAATCGTATGACCGTCACCGACTTCACTATTGGCACGCGTACGTTGGTTACCACGGCGTTGCTTCGCTTCCCGCTCCGGCGATATATTTTCTCTCTTTCTGTTGCTAACGCAGCTACCTCATCTATAGATTCTATCACGGCGGATAAGGCCAAGGCTCAAAACGAGCTTGACGATAGCGCCAACCCTAACCCTAACCCTGCCAATGATGGTATTGTGTTAACAGTGGTTGGTCAACTAC